AATTCAAGAATACTGTGATCTGCTGAGAGACACTCTGCAAACAGGAGAGTCAAAATTCATCAGATAAATTATTTATAATGAATGATATGTCCACCACTTCCTGGAACACACGCTGTTTATTTAAATAACACCTTCTGTCAGTGTACGTGGTACCTACCCTAGGGGTTCTGCCGAAATAACTATACCAGCAGAGCATTTTTAGTGTAGACAAGGCCTTAACAATAGCAATTTTGCAGAAAAGAACTGCTTCTGCAACCCACACACCTTTTTTTCCTTTCTATCTCCATAAAGTCACTATGTGTCACCATGTACACTCAGCCTACATTGCACAGCATATGGCAGCACAGCTAGGCTAGGAGGCCTGATTCTCCACTTCATTGCACCAATCTCATTCCAGAGTAACTTCATTGATTTCTTTATTCGATTTTACTCAACTGATTTGATTTTCATTGACTCCAACAAGTTACACCAGGGTAGGAGATTTAAAGACTCAGGGCCAGAAACTGGCTGGTATTAGCAGTCCTCTTAGGAGTACATCTTTAAAGGGTCAAACATAGCCTCCTCTATTTTAACCACTTAAAAATCCTCTCTGGTCCTGATTCCCTATTGCTTTGCAACTATGTTGTCATTTACACCAATGTAAAGTAGTGTAAAACGCCACCAGATCAACACAGTAGCATTTTACAGTGATCCAAATGACTACACAAGGTGGATGGCAATGGAAAATTAGGCCCTTGATTCATTTCTGTAGGACACATTTTGCAATTGTGAAATTAAATTTATTTCCACCTTTGAAAATTGTTATGAAGGTAGAATGTATTCTTGCTATAAACTGACATGGCTTCATAATGCCATTCTCATGATCTGCAAGGCGAGGGCCCATCTACGATACAAATACATCTAAATCAGAGGACCCTGTTACAATATAGTCACAATTTATAGTTCAGCTGGGATCTTGACTATATTCCATAACGGTAGCAATGCCAAAGAGCAACTGTACCAAACGATGCAATAAAGCAATGACCAAAACCAGTACTTACTACTATCACAATGACAGGTTTCAGAGGAACAGCCGTGTTAGTCTGTATTCGCAAAAAGAAAAGGAGTACTTGTGGCACCTTAGAGACTAACCAATTTATTTGAGCATGAGCTTTCGTGAGCTACAGCTCACTTCATCACTATCACAATATATATCATGCATTAAGAGAAGTTGAAATAGCATGAAGGAAGCAGAGCAATACTTAGTATTAAGCACCTTAATGAGATCTCCATTATAAAAGGGTATCCTTAGATCACAATAGTAAGCTCTCAGCTGCATTGCCTCGGGGAGGTCACCTGGACAGCGGTGTACATTCCACACACTTACTCAGTTTGTGCTATTTTAATTTTGTTGTTATACAGTATACAGATGATACTGAATACTGGAGGTAGACATTGTTTCATCACAACACTTGACAACTGTTAATTGTTAAAAACACAAAGTAGCAATGACTGCTTCAACTGGGATTCCTTTCATGAGGTGTCTACTTAAAGCATCTTAGCAGTTTACTGATTAGTTACCTCATCAAAGTAGTTTCAAAATGTGGAGTTTTGCCTTAAGCTTGGTTCTGTATTTTAAATAAAGCCTTTTTTATAATGTACAAAGCATTTGATGTATATTTCCTCCCTTGTTCTAGGTTTGTTGAGTATTTACCCCAAAGCAGTAGACACAGTAAATTCCATTGATTTCCCTGCCCACGCCTTCCAGTTTGTTTGTGGTAGTTATTATTATGGCTTCCTTTGACTTGCTTACCAGAAATAAAGTTCATATAGTATCAGCCTGAAACAATGTTATTTCACCTGTGAGTCAAAGTTTGTAACATGAACAAAAAAAGCCCCAAGATTAATTTGTATTGTGAAATATATAAATCAAAACAAATGAAATATTAGACCAAATTCTTAAGGGAAGATTCATTTTGGGTATTCAGACTAATAAAAAAGTATTTTTTTAAAAAAGCTGACAAGGTTATAGCAGAGTAGTGCACTTTATACAGCAAGCATGTGTGCATATAACAAAACAAAGATAATATTAGTACACCGTACTAGTAAGATTTCATTTTCTATTTCATTACAAGTAATTTGTGCTTCGAGTTGCACTAGGCCTGGTGCGGTGTATGTTCATGTGTGCTTAGAAATAGCAGTGCAGTAGAAATGGCACAGTTTTAATTAAGTGACTTTCTTACACTTGTGTAAATTGGGAGGATTCTGAAGTCAATGAATTTACCAGAGTACAACCAGAGCATCTATGAGGAAAAGTTGCAGCACCTGAGTCCTTTGTGGATCCCACCCTAAGTGAATTGTTGGATTTTCGTGAAGAAAATGATTGCATTGTTACTGGATTATATCATTTTGTCTAACCAGCCACTAACATTTTCAAAACTTGCTTCAGTTTATAAATTATTTTACATTCTCTGTACATCAACTTTTTTTTTTCTGATTAATTAGCCACAAGGTCTTAACCTTGCAAACAGTTATTCACCTGAGTAGTGGATTGAGTTGACTGGGAGTACACACAGGTGCAAAGTTAAGCAAGTGTAAGTGCTTACAGGGTTGGGATCTATGTTATTTTAAAATATATTGTTAACATTTCTTTCGTGGGCAAATCACTCCTTTCCCCCATAGCCATTACTCCATATTATCACACGAGGATTAAGATCACCCCGTCACTAATAAAAACATGCTATTTGGTCATAGCCAATTTTTTCTCCTTACTTTTTAAACATATCTATAGAGATAATGCCAAAAATGGGAATAATTGTCTACACCAATTTCATTAAAATTAATATTGTTTTAAATTAAAATTAAACAAACACAAAAAACTGCTGACCAGGTCTAATATAGATATATGTTTATAGACCTTGAGGCCTTTTCCACTTAGGGATTATTTACAGAGGAGGGTTACAGTTAGTTCTGTAGAACAGTTTATTATAACATGTTTCAGAGTAGCAGCCCTGTTAGTCTGTATCCGCAAAAAGAACAGGAGGACTTGTGGCACCTTAGAGACTAACACATTTATCAGAGCATAATAAAAAGCCTATGCTCTAATAAATGTGTTAGTCTCTAAGGTTATAACATGGCTCTTCCCTACCCTTGTCTGCACTGGCCAAGAGAATATTACCACAAATCACCACACCCTGCAGTTTCAGTGCAATAGGAAAGGAATATGCTGCTACAAAAATGGAACTAGGGTCCCTAGCCATTTTGCTCAATTAACATTTTTGTAAAATGCATCAACATTTTAAAAAGGCCTATCTTTTGTTTTCTTTTGCAGCATGTTTATTACCTCAGAATATGCAGTGCTGATGAGAAAGATAAGCAGAGTTAGTAATTAGATAGTTAGACGGGGTTTTCTCCATATTACTGAACCGTGGGAAAATAACTAGAGATTTAACTGTGAAATGTATTCAGGGTGGGTAGTCACAGAGAGGTCTCAAAGTTGCTGACTCATGTCAGGCTATAATGCATTAAGCACAAGATCATGTGAAGCGCGTTATATTATATGGGGAGAAAGCCACTGCCTTGCTGGGAAATTGTGTAAAGCCGGGGGGAACAGACATCTCAGAGGGTGGAGTTATCGGACTCTCACCATCTCAATGCAAATATAGCACCGTTCATAACAGGCTGACAAAAATCCTTTGAAGTCTAAGAATTAACATATCTCAAACATGTTCAGATCAGCTTGGAGGAGTGGAAGAACATAAGCTAGTTCATTATCTCTGGGCTGTATAAACTCATACAGTTGGCGGCTGTTTACTGAAACAACCTGTAAAAGTGTGAGCTAGTATTTGCCGAGGCTAAGGACTCTGCTGTCCCAGACGCACTTCAGACTGTAAAAAGTGGCTCTTTCTCACTCTTATCTGAATCATCCCTTAACAGACTTTGCCTCTTTAACAGAGTTTACACTCCCTGTCTTTGATCTACTTTATAAAAACATTAGGGCTGTTTACTTTGAAATGCACCAGCCCTGTTTCTTTTCTCTTAATTTTTTTTTCTTCCAGACATTGACGGTTAGATTCGAAACCAGCAGCTATTTCCTCAGGGTTTCCTTTCTTTTCTGCCCAAGGCCCTGACACATATTCCCCCACTGACCGGTTTAATTCTAAAATAAGATCACAATAAATTAATTGCCTCTGCTGTCCGCCGACAAGAGGATCGAAAGAATTAGATCATGCTGCCAAACAAAGGAACACGCGTGATATGGTTTCTGACCTTCTGTTAATGAAGGAACTTGCTCTGCACTACTAAGGTCAACACGACTTCAGTGATAGATTTCTCTAGAAGCGGGAACAAGCCTTAAATGTGTAGGTAAGACAGGTTTATTTGCCATATATTTAACCATACTTTAAGATCAGTAAGAATACAGGAACCTGCATCAAACTACGTTCCCCACATCGCCTAGTTCAAACAACAAACACTTGTGTTTTATTCCCCTCTGGCCAGGTATATCCTACAGCCTTAGACAACCTGTCTACATAATGGGAAGAATATTTCAACTTTAATTTCTTAATGAAGTTTACCTACTGCCCAGGCCCGTGCGTCTGCTTTGCTCTAACCCTTTCCAGGATTACCTTACCTTTGCTGGTAAAATAAGTTTTGCAAGCACGGGAGCAGACAGTGTGGGTATTTCCAGCTCCGTGGCAAGCCATCGGGGCAGCGTCTTGGAAGCTTTCTTCAAACAGTACGTTCTGAATCTTTGTTCTTGATGGTCGAAGATAAAGATTTAAAATCCTCGAATGGCTCAAACGCGGCAGTAGCTGGAGTGAGTAAAACAAAAGTGCAGGCCCTGATGTAATTATTACCAGCTGTATCATTAGGGGGTGATTCCGAGATGAACTTGGCGCCAGGTCAGGTAGCCTTGAGTTCTGTTAACAACTGTGTTCAGAGATTAGTCGGATGTAACAATCACCTGAAAGGGGAGATTAAAGGGTCTCAATGGGATCCTTTGTTCTCGGCCTCATTTGATGCTTTGGGGCCATTTCAAATCACGTCGCGGAGGAGCTTTAAATATTTGGAGACCCAGGGGGATGGTTAGTCGGCCTGCTGTGGCGAGGAAGAGCTCTAAGGGGCAAAGGGCACGGAGGATGGAGAAGGGGTCTTTCTCGGTGGAGTGGCTCGCTCAGAGCAGCCATGAGAAAGCCCAACCTGCAAGTGGGGTGTCTTCCACGCACCACCCGCCGCGGGGCGACCAGTCCCTGCCCAAGAATGTAGCCAGAGCCCGCGCCAGCGGCGATCAAGAGAAGAGAAACCCAGCGCTTACCAGGCCAAGCACTAGGGGCCGAGAGAGGCCGCCTGGGGGCGCCCGGCGGAGTCCGGGAGACCAAGGTGAGTGCCAGCCTTGCCCATCCACGTGTGGAGTGGGGCAAGAGAAAGAGTCATCGGGGCGGGATCCTAGTCGGTCCCGGCCAGGGAGAAAAGGGTCTCCGAGCCTAGGGGACAATCGCAGTCTCTTTCTATGGAAGGGCGGCAGGCTAGGGGGACCCCAGTGGGGCAGAGACATGTTAGGAAGCTGAACCCTAAACTCCAGTTCATGTGGACGCTTATGCCAGAGCTGGCTGAGAGATGCTGCCCTGGCCTTCCCACCCACCGGCTGGGCTGAGCCGGCCTGCGGGTGGTGAGGCCACTAGGAGTCCTCCGTGGTAGAGGTCAGGCGTGGGGAGAAGGGCTCTGGTGGGACATGGAGGCCCCATGTCAGTGTCCCCTGGCCAGCTGAATTCAGCATATAATGAATGCCACGTGCCCAGGGCCGGCTGGGGCATGAGGCTGCCCCCTCCTGGCTGCGGGTGGGGCTGCTCTGGGTCGTGGGGGTCTCTCTTCTCACGCCTTGCTCCCGTTATTCCAGCTGCCCTGGGGGAGCAGGAGGAAAGTGGCCCAAGCAGCGCCGCGTCCAGCCCGAAGGAGGCGGAGGCGGAGGCGGAGGCGAGGCAGGCGGGGAAGGCAGCGGCTTGGAGAGCTCCAGCTGCACCCAGGCTGGGCGGCCCCGCACCAAGTTCTCGGCCTCGCAGCTGCAGGAGCTGGAGAGGAGCTTCCGCGAGCAGCGCTACATTGGGGCCAGCGAGAAGCGGCGGCTGTCCAAGGTGCTGAAGCTCTCCCAGACCCAGGTGAGGGACCAACCTGGTGGGACTGGGAGTGCCCAGCCGCTCAGGCTTAGACCTCAGGAGAGCATCTGTTCCCTGGGGCGGGGGGCGACAATATATTCACGCGAAGCCGCTCCCCTATTGTGACAGAGGCCAAGAGTGTGCAAGAGAGAGTGTCATGGGCTCGGATCTTCTGTAAACCCGGTACTAGCCCTACATTGATTCTACCCTCAGCCTTCCCCCAGCTTAATTCAACGCGCCTGATCCTGTCTGGGATTAGGTGTCTCCTATACAGCGCCACTTGTGTAATATGGAGTCCTCATAGTGTCAATGCTTGCTCCAGAACATTGCTATTATTAATTCCCTAGTCACCGCACAAGCGGATAGGTTGTCCCGAAAAGATCAGAATCTAATTTGACAAGATGTTACAAATGGGCGTTACAAAAAGTGAATGGGACAGAGGACGAGTACTCATGACAGGAATACATACTTATACAGGCTAGCTATTGGGCACAATTTGATCGTTTCAAGTCCTAGTTATGTGATCAGATTTAAAGGATCTATAATGACTAGAGATCAGCAATGCCCATGGGCCATCTACGGTCACGAGGTGGCCACAACAGAGAAGGCAATAGCCAAGAAATCACATGGGGAACCAGTGGGCAGCTCCTCTGTAAGAAAGGGAAAGGGAGTCAGGAGGGGGGCTGAGCAGCAGGCAGGAAGGAGAAGGGAATGCAGAGAAAGTCCATGCTTGCAAGCGAGGAGTCCCTGCACAACAGTGGTAGGTTCTGCAATTTCTGAGCCCCACATAGAATGATAGAACCATAGGGTTAGCATGGACCACAAGACACATCTAGTCTAACGCTGCCAAGATGCACGATTTATTGTGTCTAAAACACATCAATATAAAGCAGAGTTTAGGACTTACCAAGAATGACTAAATGACAAAAACAAACAAACAACCCAGGGCAGAAAATCTCAGAGCAGGGGTCTGGGGTTGCACTATAGTGCTAAAAATACATGTCTGACACTTAGTAATTCTGAACTGTCTAAAAAAAAAAAAAAACATTTTCAGATACAAACTTTGTTAAATGGGAGATGGGGTGAACCCAATATCTCCACAGTGAAAAATAACCCTTAAAACAGATAATTTTCCCCCTCCCCCAATAAGAGACAATGAAAATTAAACACATTACACTGGAGAAGCTGGAAATATCATAGCTAAAATTCCACTTTTTATACCACAGAAATGCATATCGAAAGTCACCCCATGCTCTTACATCAATTTGACAACACAAACAATGAGCCAGATTTATTCCTGGCTTTCAGTGGATACAACTCCTCTAAAATCAATTTTATTGTATCTACTCTGGCCCAATATGAACAGCAAATAACCTACATGCAAATAACATTGCATGCTTATATGATCAGACACTCCCAACACGTATTTTACTAGACTACTCTAGGCCCAGTTAAGTCAGCAGGAGCAGTTGTGCTTAAAGTTGAGCCTATGCTTAAATATATGCAGGAGCTTTAGTTTGAATTTTAAAATTAATGCACACTAAAGTCTTATTGAAACAAAGGTCCACCTGGGTTTGCAAATTCACATAGCTAGTGACTTTATGTAGGATTACATACAGTCTATTAAAAATATTTGGCCACTTCATTATTCAAGAGTGTACTGGAGAAAAACATTCATTAATCACCAAAGATATGCTGCAAAATGCAAGTGCTGCTGGACACAGCTACCCTATCTACAAATGCAAACCTCCTGCAACCCAAAATCTCTTAAAAAGACGGTAAAAGCATAGTGTGGTGAGGGATCAAAAGATCAATTTAGGAAATGTGATAGCAGAAAACATTGGGAGGGAAAGAGGGTAGCATGGAACAGAGTTAATGTTTGGGTAAGCTTCCTGCACACTGCCATACTATCTAAGTTTGGTTGTTTTTTTTTTTGTTTTTGTTTTTGTTTTGTTTTGTTTTTTTTACAGTGGAACCTTAACTGAATTTCCAGGCTAACAAAGATTGCACAATTTAATATTCTCAGGCTGTTTCCTCTGAAGTAAACTGGTTTCTTTCCATATTAAGTCTGAATTAAGTTTGCTGAAAAATAGGGGCCAAATTCTGCGGTTCTCTCTGTTGGTACTTATATGGATCCCAGTACTGTAGTATGAAGGAGGTGCAGTGGCTGAGTGGTTAAGGCACTCAGCTACAATCCTGAAGGTCTGGGTCTGAGTCTCTCTTGATCTCATACTGAAAGGCCACCTCCAGTTCATTCAGCTGAAAAATGGTTACCTGCTCCATTGAGTTAGGGCAGTCAAAGCTGATCTGACATGATGCTCTGGCCACATCACTCCCTTGTGGACATTGGCTATGAAACTGCATCCTTGGGGAACTTTGACTGTTGTGTGAGAGTCTTACTGAAGTCAGGGAAATTGCTCCAGCTTCACAAAGTTGTAACAGCAGAATTTGGCCAGTGATCGCCAACAGTTAATGCATTTCTAAAACTTCAAGAACCATTGCACATCTTTATTTGGCAAAATAAATTAGCAATAGTCTCTTGGATTTTTATTTTTCAGATAAAAACCTGGTTCCAGAACCGTCGTATGAAGTTCAAGCGACAGACCCAAGATGCCAGGATTGAAGCTCTCTTTTCAGGCTTACTTTTACCTTATCCTTACCCAGAGATCCAGACACCCAGTTATCCCCCTGGGATGGAGTTCAACGTCTCCTCTGCTGCTGCTGTGACCTGTTCCCTTCACCCAGCTATGCCAAGCCCAGCCCTGCTCCTGCCTCCTGCTCCAGCTCAATCTCTTCAGGCAGTTGTGCCAGCCCCAACCTTGCTGGTGACTGCTGCTCCAGGATTTTCTTATCAGTCTACAATTCCAACGGTCTCTCTAACCCAGAATCATAATAGACTGAGATTCCAACCATATCTTCCTCCCTCTTAAACATGAATAAAAGTGCTCTGAGCTGCGAAATGAACTTTTTAAAAATGAACTACCTGAAATCATGAAGAGTACTTATTTAACTTATTTTTATTATAGTCATTAAACATTAGTTCAATATTTCAAAACTTATTTTTTTTGGTTATTTTGTTTTTAAAGCAGTGTTTTTAAAGGGACACAGTCAAGTACAGGTTCAAAATGGTAATTAGAATAGGCTGACAAATGGTAGAGTAAGGGGTTGATATTGCAAAAATTCTGCTCTCTTCCCCCAACCCCACACATGTTGCCATTAAAACTTCAATGAAGACTGTAAGTATCAACCAACTCTGGGAATAATGTTGTGGGAATATAGGAGTGATTTTGCTCTAATTATTAATTTGTAGTAACCCAACACTTTATCAAAAGTTATAACTGTCTCTGCAGAAACAGCATCACTCAACCAACTGTTGCCTACTGAATCCTAGTTGTAGAAATATTAATCCATTAAAATAGCTCATGTCGTTCATAAGAGTGTGGCAGGGATGGTGGTGGAATTGTTTAACAAGTGCATGGGGGGACAATAGGGTGTTTTTAATTTCTAAGACTAGTACTTTACCAGAATTCACTAGTTAAAATATTAACACTTGACAATGTCCCTTTAAAAACATTGTCAAACTGAAACAGGGTGTGTGCTTGTGAGTGGCAAACACAGAAGTTCAAACAACTATATGCGACTAGGGAGGACTATTGTGGCTTTCATAAGTTCATTTGTGAGTAGAGGCACCTTGTAATTAAATATTTTCTTGGAAAACTAAACTGTCAGAACTAACATCCATTTTCTATGAAATAGCTACCACTAGCAAGCCAGAATGTCTCTCGTAATTAATACTTGTTTCCTTATATTTCATGGAACCAAATCTTTTATTCAAAACTCCTATTTCAGGGATTCTTTCCTAAATAAGGACTGCAGGATGTGTTCTGCAGTGTAATCACAGATAATTGCTTGGTGCCTTGTGAATTTAAGATTTGAGCAAGTCATTTACAAGTGTCATTCAAGGCCAGTTAACTTCAGGATGTTACTCACAAATTGTACCTGAGTATACATAATAGAATATAAACTGACTCAGCATGAGTGTTTAAAATAAAAGGTGACTTGTTTTATTACTCTCAACTTCATGGCAGTTGTTTTGTAATATGATAACTCTGGAAGGCTCTATGTGATCAACTTCAAGGAATGGTCTGGGAAGCCCAGAACTATTGATTGCGATGCAAAATAGAACACCAGAAAAACCTGACTAACAAAGACAAGATGGTGATGCAGGCAAAAGAGCTTAATAGCCCTCTTGCTTCCTGCTCATACCAGGAGGACAGCTGGGTACTGAAATGAGAGACTTACAAGGAAGGCTGGTGGGGTTGGGAAGAGGGGCAAGAAAGCTAATTTGCAGGTAAGCAGTGGGAACTGGAGACCTGGAGGTGGAAAACGGATGGGCAGGGGGCAAAGAAGGTAATGGAGGGAGGAGAAAGTGGGAGTGGTGAGGGAAGCAGGGACCCCTGTATGGAAAAAAACTGGGCTGGTGGGTAAGGAAGGACTCAGACTGGAGGAGAAACATGGACCGGTCTCTGGCATGTGGTGGAGGGGACCATGGCAAACATGCAGAACCTGCCATGAGCAAGGGGTGAGGAAGGCTTACAGAAAGTCCCTGAAATGGATGGGAAAGTAGCACATAAGGAGCTTGGGTGAGATGAAAGGATTCTCTACTGCATGAATACCCTTAGCCTAGAGAAGCTACGGAAGTGCAACTCTTTCATCCAGGGTCATGACTGTGAAGTACCAGCATTCTGACATTAGAGGTCACCTATGGCTCACAACACTCCTTTCCTTTGTTTTGCCTATGGGAACAGTACAAACAACTATTTACTGTTATCGGTTAAGGTTGCTCAACTGCATACACTAACAGAGCTGTGAAAACTCCAACAAGAAGTAGGCAAAAAGTTTCTATCTTCCCTGCCCCAGCTTTTTGTTTCTGGCAAAAAGTGCAAATTCAGAAACACATGTTTTGTGAATTCATGCCAGTTTGCCTGAATTATTATATTAATGTGATCAAAAAGCCTCAAGGCTTCAACATTTTTGAAATTAAATGTTTCTGGCTCAAAAAGACTAAAATTGAAGTAAACTTCAAAACATTAAAAAATTATTTCAGCTGAAACTAAGTGTTTTGTTTGACCCAAAATGATTTTTTTTATTTAAAAACAAACACACCAAAACAAAAATATACTTTGATTCATCAAGAATTTTGAAGAGTTTTTATTCTGGGTCAACCCACAACTAATTCCTCCGCTTATAAACCCTCTCCCCATTTTTTTTGAATCAGCAGCAAATGGAAAAATTCATTATTTATCATATCATAGAATCATGATTTTCCTCTTCGAAAGCATATGCTTGCACTGACGCACACAAACAAATGCAGTCTTTATTTCAGGGAAGTGGAGGGAGAGAAAAGGGTTGGTTCGAGGTGAACTTAATGCCTCTATGCTGAGGCATCAGCACAAGAAATTGAACGTTTCTTTCCTATATCTATCTACCTGCAGCAATGTTTGGCGGTAGCCATTGATACAGATACAATGTGGCTGGAGAGCTGAAGCAGCAACGCAGAGGTCTCATCTCAAGGGCCAAAAGGGTGTGTTTTTCAATCATAAGTTTCAGAGTAACAGCCGTGTTAGTCTGTATCCACAAAAAGAAAAGGAGTACTTGTGGCACCTTAGAGACTAACCAATTTATCTGAGCATGAGCTTTTGTGAGCTACAGCTCACTTCATCGGATGCATCGGATCCGATGAAGTGAGCTGTAGCTCACGAAAGCTCATGCTCAAATAAATTGGTTAGTCTCTAAGGTGCCACAAGTCCTCCTTTCTTTTTTCAATCATGTTAAGCACAAATAAAAAGCCCTATTATGGCCCAATCTACACTACAAAGTTAGATCAACCGAACAATGGAGAGAGGAGCTTGTGGCACACTGGGCTTCCTGCCCATTGCACTGTGCTTTGCATCCACACAAGCAGACAAGTGTGCATGTCAGGGGTTCTGGAACAATTTTTATAGTGAGGTGCCGATGATGGAAACCATATATATATTTGGTGTCTGTTTTTACTACTTTAACCAAGGGGATGCAGCAGCACCCCTAGTGCCAGCACCACTGTTTCATGTGTGCAATATACAACTTTGGCAGCTGTATAGGGACGTGCTTCAATGGGCTTTTTCAATTGTATTTAACTGGATTAAAAATACACGCTTCCCTTCCCCCCCCCATCAATAAAGGGCCAGTTTTCTAACCAAGGTTAGTTCAAACAATTGAAAAGCCCTATGAAGATCGAACATCTAAAGCCATGTTAACTAGCTGCAGTAAAGCATGGAGGCAGGAGGAGAGTCTAACATGCCTAACCAATGCAGTTTCAATGATTGTAGCCTGTACCTTAACAAGGCTTTCCAGTTGTGCTACACCCTTTTCTCATTGTAGTCACAGAGTTTAAGGGCTGGAGGGACCACCAGATTGCCCTCCTGTCTATTACAGGTCACTAAACACAACCCAGCCACCTCCACATCAAGCCCAACAGCCAGAATTAGACTAATCTCCTCAGGCCTGTAATATTTCAAACTATTTCATGCTAGAGGCAAAGACATACTCATTGTGGCTCTACTGATGCCATAGCACAGAAGCAGGGGGCTCTTGTCTCCAGTTTCCTCCATACAACCAAGATTAGTCAGTCCAGAATGTTATTTCAGGAGGAGGGAGGAAATGAGTACAGCTATTAAAGGAACTAAAAAAAGTGAAGATATCAAGAGCAACATTTTTAAAGGGGAGCAATTTTTAAGTGTTTCTTCTGCAAAAAAATATTGCTTTACTAAAAAGTTACATGGAGCATTCAATAGTCCTCTGTCAAGTCCTTGTGCCAAATTTGTAAATTAAATACCATTTAAAGAGGGATTTCATTCATACTTTAAGGCAAAGATTTTCAAGAATATGTTATGTTACTAAATAGCACTCTTGAAAATTAGCCTAAATACCCAGCAATTTCCACTGAAGTCAGTTGGAAGCAAATCCCAGCATCTATACCTCAGTTTTCCCCATAGTAGAAATAGTAATACCTATTTCACGAGCTTGTCTGCACACAAAAGTTGTACCATTTCCACGTAAGTTTTGTAATTGATTTAAACTGATAAAGCCTGTGCATGCACACTCATTTAGATGTTTATAGCAATGTAAGTTTGATTCAGTAAATTACCAATGGAGTTAAATCAATATAAATCAGTGCAACTATTCTATGTTCTACCTTTGTAAAACATTTTGAGGTTCTTGGATGGAAGATGCAATGGAAGTGTAAAGCAGTAATTTATGCTCACAAAACAATTCACTGACTGCCACTTTGCTCCCTCCTGTACATAACGCCCCACCCCCCAATAATTTACACAGAATCCTATTATAGAAACACTATGCACTACTGAGGTCACAAGACTGTACATTGTACTCCTTTAAGTAGCGTAAAAGTTTTAATTTTCACTGGCTGTAAAAACAGGCCAGTTAACACTTGGATGAGAATAGGAAAAGTGGACTTGGTCAAAGTCACAAATTGCATAACTGCCAACTCAGGAGTAGGAAAGGATGACAAGACAATCTGTAAACTTTTAGTTCCAATGTGCCACATAATCCTAACTGGGTGTTCTTGTTATACAATATAGAGCACTGAAATGGTATTTCTATGTGTATAATCTCATCAGAAGCCATTGATTCATTGCCAGCTTTCTGACTATAAGCAGAGTGTTACTACCAACAATTAGCAAACCTGAAACCTAATTGTATCTGGTTTCTGGGTTGCATATGCACAGAAAAAACTATTAGATGCACAAGATTACTATAACAAAGCCTCCAGATTGATAGTTTCTTCACAGTTGATAAGATTTTTGCTATAGGCTCTAAAACAATGAATTTTATCTCATAGCCTTGCCTACTTGGTGTGAATCCTAGTGTAGGTAAGGCTGTGTGGCTAATCCTGCACACAATTTGCTTTCAGCACATCTACATTAGGGTTC